TCTACCTTACAGTTCTACTTAATCAACATTCACATTTTGAAAAAACAAGGACATACATAAACATCTGTTGGAGAAAACCCCAGCCCAGTCTCACTCCATTCTATTTCTATCGGGTGGGCAACGGTGATCCAACTTCCCAACTTGGAGGCATTGCTTTCTCAAACTCCTCTGCAGAAGTGATCTGCTAAAAGAGCGTCACATCTCTCCATCCCAACAGTATTCTCAGTATCGGGATGTGATTATTGTATCCCACTTGTCTTGACATCACATGACTTCAGAATATGGTGAACCTCTTTATTCTGACATGGATCTTCGATCTCGATGGCTTCTGAGCAGGATCAGGATCTCCCTTCGGAAGCTTCTAGAGAATCCCCATCGAATTTACCGACACCTGACTCAGATGTCTCAGATATCCACCTACCATCTCCATCTGAGGACTTTACATCTTATTCCCAGCTCATTCTCCATATGGCCAAATCTTTGGAACTCGACATTGAACAGCCTCCCCAAACAGGACCTCATCTTCAATGACATAAATCAAGAGAAATCCCCTCCATTGAGTCTGGCATTCATACCAGCCATGTTGAACCTTATCAAGGAGTCATAGGACAAGCCGCATACGTCTACCCAAATCTCTCGACGCATTGAGAATCACTATAGAACGCATGGATTCAGCACAGCTTTTCTCATGAAACATCCTGCTCCAAACTCTATTATAGTGCAGTCAAATCAGTCCCGTGCCGGTAATGGATCTTCAGTCACTCCTACCAATAGGGAAGGCAAAAAGTTGGGTGTCTTAGGCCATCGCCTATATTTTCTGGTCTCCTTTCTTATGAGAGTCTTGAATTACCAAACCGTATCAGAGACCACTGTAGAGCAAGATCCTCCTGGTCCTTCAGGCTGCTCCCGAGGAGACCAGAACCTCTGCCCTCAACACTCATCTTGAGGCCACAACTCTAGCTAGACAGCAGCATCTTGCATCTCGCCACACAGCTGATGCTGCCTTGAAGTCTTTAGCCTCAGGTATTGTCCTCAGAAGGCATGCTTGGTTGTGCTCCGCAGGGATCAATGATAATGCTAGATCCTGCATTGAGGATCTTCCATTTGATGGTGTTGGTCTTTTTAATGAGAAGATGGATAAGGTGATGGACAATTTGCACAAGATGCATAAGACCGCCCGTTCCTACTCTACCCAGCAGCCCAGATACCAACAGCGTAACCAATGGCGCAAGCCCTTTACCTTTCAACAACAATACCAGCAACCCTATCGGCCCTACAAACCTCCAGCTCTGGTTCCTGAAAAATCCAACCCTCCTCAATCTTCCGTGGTTTCTCCCTTCCATTCCCAGGCCCCTGCTCAGCGCAGACAAGGTTTCTGTCACCCTGCAAGAAAAAAACAAGGTATATCCTTGACTCTCCTCTTCTGGACTGTCCTCATCATCCCTGTCTGGCTTCCTTTTTCGACAAGTGGGCCAGCATCACCAAGGACACTTGGGTGCTTGCCATCATACGTTGCGGTTACCTATTGGAATTCAAGGAGCTTCCTCCTCTCGGTTATGTCAGACCCACAACTTACTCACCTGCTTTAGAGGACAAGATTACACTCCTTCTTCAAAAACGTGCTATCCAGAGGGTGTCTACTTAAGATATTTTGGACAGTTTTTACTCACGTTACTTCACGGTTCCCAAAAAGAATGAAGGCCTCCATCCCATTTTGGATCTGCTAAACACCTACATTCATCCAAGGTGTTTTCTCATGGTCACCCTTGAATCAGTCATCCCTCTGCTTCAGTCAGTTGATTGGTTTGTGGTTATAGATTTACAGGACACATATTTTCATATTTCAATTCACAAGCACCATTTCAGATATCTCAAGTTTTCTTTTCATGGGTGTTGCTTACTAATTTTGTGCCCTTCCCTTCAGTCTGTCCACCGCTCCAAGGACCTTTACAAAGTGTCTGGCTCCAGTCGCTGCCTACCTTTGTCTGCACCACATCACGGTATTTCCATACATAGATGACTGGTTGATAGTAGCAAGATCATACAGCACAGCCTGAAGGGATTCTACCTTTGTTCTTCAGACTCTGGCAGATCTCGGCCTGCAAGTCAACTATAAAAATATCATCTTTTAATTTTTTTTATTTTTTAACTAAGAGTGGGATAGGGAATACAAAAGGTCAAAGGAAGTGGGAGAAAAGGGAAAGGGTTATGGCGATAGCAGAACACAAAATATGCAATCATCCAATCTATTCATATTTCAATAACAAATCAACTTTCTGCTTTTTTAAACTATTTGATTACCCTCCAGCTATCAACTTAAAGTTATTTTTTTAGTTTAAGTCTAAGTTACTCCAACACTATCAGGGAACCAGAGCCTTTTATAAAATAAATCCCATCGTTTAGTTTCCTTTTGCTTTGGACAGTCATTCAGCACGTCTGAAAGAGTATCCCATATTTTCTCAGTAAGCTCCTCTTGTTTCCATAACTCTGCTTTCTTCTATTTTTTGGAAGAGAAGGCTGGATCCAGGACAGCAGTCCAATTTTTAATATAACATTTTCTGATTGTAGTAACTAAATAGCTCACTGGGTAACTCTTTATCCCATCTATGTTACCTGGTATCGTACACAATAAAAGCAGTTCTAGAGTTAGTACAGCTTCATTCAACTCTTGTTTAACATCTGATAACTTCTCTTTAATCAGATCTTCTATCAGGCTAAGACATTCATGTACTTGCTGAAATCCTGCTGTTATTATCCTTTGCATGGTAGCCTGCCATTCTTTGTCTGATTTTTGTGCCACTATTCCCAAATTTTGAGATTGGGCAAAGTCCCCAATATTTGATATTTTAATTTTTCAGAGGTCATTTTGATTTTTCCAATGAGTAGGGTCTGTATAAATAAAACTATATCCTTCACCAAAAATCATAAACCTCCCCTAGGTTCTTCCTCCCATCCTTCCACAGATATTATGATATATAAATCAACTTTTATCCCAACAATTTAAAATACAAGTGTGGCAAAAATATCCCTTTTTCTCCAGAAATCTAACACAATTCTATTATCAGAGTCCCACACAGTCCAGCCAAAGAAAATCTAGACTAGACAGCAGTCACAGGGAATCAGTCTCACCAATAGATACCAGTCCGACTAATGTTCTTTTCATTAATCCAAAGATTCAGTTACAAAGAAACTCCAGTCCTGGTTTTCCTAGCTGCTCAGTCCAGTTGCCTGTGTCGTCTCGATGATTATTCTACGTCTGTTTTCTTACTTCTAAAAGCTTCTTCCAAAAACCAAACAAGATTCTATTATCAGAGTACCACACAGTCTAGGGAAAAAGTCCAGGCTAAACAGCAGTCACAAAATTTCAGTCTCTTAAATCCTGTCCAGTGGCATTTCACTCTGGGACTTTTTCCAGAATTTTTTTTCCATCTTGAACCAGCCTGCTGTTTAAGAGTCAGTTTCGTTTTTGAAGAAGCAGGCTAGTAAGCAAAACTCGCCACTCCTTATCTTCTTTCAGCCAAATATTTTCACTGTAATTTCTTTTTCAGTTTAATCGGGTTGTTCATAAATCAAACACTTCCTTTGTTATTATATAACTTCCTTTGTTATTATATATTTTCAATGCCGTATTGCTTGTTCTCCTCTCCTCGGGGGGGGAGTTAATCACAGCTCACTGCCAAAATGGCTCCCGCATCCGATCTGTGCTCAAGTGAATTTTCAGAGGGAAGAAATACCAGGTTGCTGCCCAATCTTCCTCCTTCTGTTGCTCACCAACTGCTTCAGAGAGACCTCTCCTGGTTTCCTCTTCGATCCCCCATTTCTAGAGGGACCCCAGACTGGTTTCAGCTTTTCCAGGGAGTTGTTCCCCAGAGCTGCTGGCTGCACTGCGATGAAGCCCTGCCCCTACTACAAAAAAAATCTCATCTTGAGCCACCTCAGACCACAGATTATATTGGGGCTTATCTTGATTCCATCGCGGCCAGGGTATTTCCCCCTTCAGAAAGAATACTGAAGTTAAGGTGAGCCATTCACCCCTTTCGGCATTGCACCACAGTCACACTTACCATACGCAGCACCTGCTAGGTCTGATGGCTTCAACTACATCTGTACTCCAACATGCATGACTGAAGATGCGGTCCTTACAGGCTTGGTACCTGTCCCAGTTTGACCTTTTGCTAGACCAACCTTCCAAGCGTCTACTGGTGACCCCGGAATTAGCTCACCAATTTACATGGTGGACCTTTGTGCCTCACCTCCTGGTAGGCCACCCATTCAGGCCTCTCCAGCTTATGGTACAGGTCACAACAGATGCCAGTCAGATAGGATGGGGTGCACACTGCGGTCATTGGTTACTACTGCTGCTGCTCAATTATTTTGTTATTGCTACTGTTACTCAACTGGGAGCTGAATGGCTGGCTTTTGCCTACAGAGAACAGAGAAATGGAAAACTGATACCTTGGTACTTTTGTTTTTCATCAGATCTGCAACTTCTGTCTTGCAAGTTGGGGTGCTTACAGGAGCATTACAAGTGGACAAATCTGGGGCTTCTTTCCCTAACCTGCCAAATTTTACATGATCTAAGCTTGAAGAAAATTTCTTAGGAACTAGAAGGCTTGCCTTATGTGTAAAACATTTATGATCCAATGAAGCTTTTACTCAACCCAGTATTTTGTTTCTGTTTGATGGTTAGTTTTGTTCTTCTGTTTACAATTAGGAATCACAAATTTTTGCCAGTCACCCAGAGGTGTACTACTAGATCACAATCTATAATTTACCTTTCCCTGCTCTGTTGAAATGATAATGAGACATAATCTGAGATCTCCAGGCCAAACTAGATGTTTTGTCCACTTTTGTGGGGCCCACGTTCTCTTGCAAATCCATCACTATTATTTCCTAGCAGGGCCCAGGCAGCTGTAAAACATCACTTGAAAATGTGTCAGCATAGCAAGCCAAGTGACTAGTTTCTGCTGAGGGCATTTTCCTTGTTTTTTATTATCAAGGTGGCACCAAAAGACAACAGAAAGCTGCCAGGATGCCAAACTGGGGAGGTGGAGCCAAATGTGGTGCCTGTGGCAAGACTGTCTATCATGCTGAGGAAATCCAGTGTAATGGCAGGAGTTTTCACAAGACCTGTTTCCACTGCAGTAAGTGGATCTCTGCTATTTTGTTGTGCCATACAAGTAACAGCATACTTGTTGTGATAACTGCATGCAGTAATTGTTTATTTCTGCTTAAAGCAAAAAGTTGACTAAATAGCGATATATTTAAACACTGAGGTTGTGCTAAATGCCCAGCCTAAATCCTCTGACTGGTAGACTCAGTTGTAAAGAAAAAACTGGCCTTTGTAAGTAACTTGTGGCCAGAGTTTGGAAATAACACGTTATAAGAAATTATAGTTGTAATACAAATTTACTCATTATCTAAATAATTAAGTCGTTTCCAGGCCATTATTCTATTTTTATGTATGCTTTTGTTTTAATTTAATTAAATAAGAATTAGTGAATTACTAATGTGCTACAAATGAATTGCTTTGAAAATAATGAATAAGATGTTACTTCTATCAATCTAATGGCTAATGTAGATTGAGTTTTAAAAAAGGTGTGTTCTGAGCTCTGGTTGTGAGAAGCATTTTCAGACAAATTTAAGCATCATCATTTCAACATCCATTAATGCAAACATGTAGTAGGAATGAACAGAATTCTAGAATCCAGACACACCCATCGTGGGTCACAGAAAAGTTCAATGACAGCAAGTGGATGCATATTGCAAGATATTGCTTTACCCTGTAAAATAGATCCAAGAGCTGAGGGTTTCATCTGTACATTTCTTGGTTAGAAGTCCTGTATACACAGTGCAATACCAGGCAGGTTCATGCAGCCCTGCTGCATATTAGGATAACATGGGATGTGGGATATATTTATATATTTACATATGATAAATATGTAATTCTTTCTCTGCAATCTATTCCATGAGATACACAGGGGCATGCTATATAACCAGCAGCTGAATTTTGGGGAATAAGCTCTATATAGTGGACCCTCGACTTACAGACGGCTCAACTTACAGACTTTTCGAGTTACAGACTTCTCTGGCCGCAAAATTTAGGCTCGACTTGCAGCTGGAGAATCGACCTACAGACCAGAAAAAAACCCAAAATGGAACAAAACCATTCGGTTACGGATTAATTGGTTTTCAATGCATTGTAGGTCAGTGGAGACTTGACCTACAGACTTTTCAACCTGCAGCCACCGTTCCAATACGGATTAATTCCAAAAGTAGAGGGTCCATTGTATTTCACTTTAATGTTTGGTCTCATATGGTACAATACTGTGTTATGTCTAACTAACCACTGGCATGCAGTGAACATCAGTCACAAAACGCAAGCGAGACCTGCAGCCAAATGTGGCAGGGCGGAGTGCTGCTGTTTCAGAAAGCCCGGCAGCCAGCTGTGCTTTCCCCCAAACAAATGTCACGGCTATTATGTTTCAATAAGGAGAATGAATAATTAACACAGTGACAAGTTATGGCCTAGGAGACAGCACAATGTAAAGGATCAGCACATAAAACCATTGAGCGCAAAAGAATTCGGTGCTCGGAGTTGCTCAGAATCCAGATGTTGCAATTTTTTTAAAAAAATGCACGTCAAATGAAATTAAGGGGAACAAGGCATGATTTGGTAAAGGAACAGCTTAGGAAGGCAGAGAAAGGTTGACAGCTAGGAGACTGCCGTTTGTTTTCTTACTGATGGTCAGTGATAGATGGGGCACTTCTGCTGGAATGTTCAACCCTACATCTACTTTCCAGTAATTTGAACTGACATCTGCTGGAACAAGGGCAAGGAGGGATGCTTTTAAAGTACAGGAGAGTTGATTTATGGTTAAACATTAGGAAGACCTTTCTGCCTCCAGGACTCTGGTTGGTAATTATTTTTCTTACCCTGCCAGCGTGAATGGCAGAATGACAGTGAAGGGTGATGCGCCACTCACATACTCAGTAGGTGGCTGCAGTTTAATTTCTTTCCACACTTCTTCTGAGCCGGCAACTTAATTGGGGAGCAAGTCAACACCTGCTCTGGAGGCTGGATGTCAGCCAGGGGATTTCAGTTGCTTCAAAGGATGCATGCAATGAAGGGAGCTACGTCTGGAAGCTCCCTCTCCTTGCAAGTGTTAAAGAAAACAGTCAAAAAGTGTCTTCAGCCACAGTTACCTGCAATGGCCCTGCAAATTAATATTTATTCTTTGAAAGTAATTTTTAAATAATATCAAAATATCAACACAAACCATTACTACTTAAAAGTGCTGCTATATTAATGAAAACCCATCCTTTTCCAAATTGTAATCAGGGAAAAATATTTTAGAACAGCGGTGATTCTTGACAAAATGGCAGAAAATAGCAGGACTATAATGCGGAAAGAAAGAACTACCCACCACTTAAAACAGATGGCGCCCAGGAAAGTGTAAAACCCCGTCACCATCACTATATGGAAGAATTGGGTTACTTTGAAGTCACATAATAGGTTACCGACTGGAGTTGGCAGAACCAAAGTGAATGAATGAAAATGGGATTTTTACACCGACACTGTCCTTTGCGAGTGTGGAGAAGAAGACACAACTTCACACCTATGTCAATGTACCATATATTTCCCCTCAACAAATACTATGGAGCGCTTGATGTTAGCTGCCCCAAATGCTCTCAGTGTTGCCTGTTATTGGGCAAAAACAACCTGATACATTTATTGGCCAAGATCCTATTGGCACACTTCTGCCAGCATAAATCAGGTTAGAAATAATTAATTGAAATTAATTTAGAGCTTCCTAGCTTCCCTTTTCAGCTTCTGATGCTCCTTTTATTGTCCTAGGGAAGATTTTGGGAGCTTCAGAACAGGTAGGGAGAAAGTAAAAATAAAATTTTAAAAATCGCAGCAGTGATTCTGTGGTAATTTTTGACTTTTAAGTTAGCACCCTGCTCATTCCAAAGCACTGAAAAGCTTGTTCAGGACAAAAGGGAGCACTAGGCAGCCTTAGAAGCTGAAATGGGGGGGATGTTTGTGTGTGTTCTGTGCCATCAAGTTGGAACCGGCTTCTAGTGACCCTAATAGTGCTTTCAAGGTAAGTGAGGTATTTAAGGAATCGTTTTACTAGTTCCACTCCACCAGCCAGCTTCCATGGCTGAGCGGGGATTTGAACCCTGTTCTCCAAAGTACTAGTCAATCACTCTATCCACTGCACCACACTGGGAATCGAAATGGGGTCGGGGAAGTCAGCTTTATATTAATTTAAATTAATTTTTTTCAGTGCACCAATCTGGAAAGAAAGAAAGAAAGAAAGAAAGCCATCTAATTACATTGCTACCAGTGTTAGAGATCAAACCTAAATCCCACTGGAGTGGAACTTAATTCTGGGTAGATAAGCATGGAATTTCACTGTGATTGTAGCCTTCTTGCTATTATTTGGTGTATTATAGATTCCTTGTTACTTGCTTTTAGAAATCATCATCTTAATCTTAGAACTGCAGAGCTGGAAGGGACCCTATGGTCCAGCTACTGTCACAGAGGCACAGTAGGAAATTGAACTCCCAGCCTCAGACTCCACAGCCAGACACCAACGAACGAACGAACGCACGCACGCCATCTAATTACATTGCTACCAGTTTTAGAGATCAAACCTAAATCCCACCAGAGTTAATTCTTAATTCTTAATTAAGAATTCTTAATTAAGAATTCTTAATTAAGAATTAAGAATTAACTCTGGTGGGATTTAGGTTTGATCTCTAAAACTGGTAGCAATGTAATTAGATGGCGTGCGTGCGTTCGTTCGTTCGTTCGTTCGTTCGTTCGTTCGTTCGTTCGTTTGTTACTTGCTTTTAGAAATCATCATCTTAATCTTAGAACTGCAGAGCTGGAAGGGACCCTATGGTCCAGCTGCTGTCACAGAGGCATAGTAGGAAATTGGACTCCCAACTAACTATTTTCTCAGTTTTTAAAATTATTGTAAAATAAATTCAGGAACAGGTGCTACCTTGATGGGACCACTAAAAAACAAAATAAATGAAACAAAAAGACCAGACAGAATTTCCAATGATAATTCATCTTCCTCATGCTGAGCAACCTGTTCCTGCATTTGTATTGTTTTGAGAATCCTGTGGCCTTTTCCTGATTTTTACTAAAATCATTGTAGAATTTTATCTTGTAATATTAATTGTATGATTTTTGTCATCCAACGTAACATTCTGCTCACTTAGCGGAAGAGAGGGATACAAATAATAATAACCATTGTTGTTATGGTTAGAGGATCATTACATGGTTCTGAGAGGAAAGTTAACATCCCCAGTCACTCTTTGCAAATCATCTGTTGTTATCTGCTCAGTGTTTGACCTGATGTGTACATGCATGTGCTTGTGTGCACGCACACCCGCACACAAACAGATGCTGCTCTTTAACTACTGCAGTTCCCTGTTTTTGTCATCCAACGTAACATTCTGCTCACATAGTGGAAGAGAGGGATACAAATACTGTAATAATAACCATTGTTATTATGGTTAGAGGATCATTACATGGTTCAGAGAGGAAAGTTAACATCCCCAGTCACTCCCTGCAAACCATCTGTTCTTATCTGCCCAGTGTTTGACCTGATGTGTACATGCATTTGCTTGTACACATGCACACCCGCACACAAACAGATGCTGCTCTTTAACTACTGCAGTTCCCTGTTGACTTTTACTTAAAACACATCTGTGGTGGGACATGTGGCACAACCGCAGCTGCTACAACCCTAGTCTGTGACAGCTGAGTCTCCTCTACCAGCAGGTTGACGCAGCTCAAAAACTATTTCTACAATAGCACTTCAAGGGCTTTTGTACCATCTGTTGTGACCATCAGATACTCTTCCCCAAAGGAGCCAGAAATAGAAGCACTCTGTGTGCTGCTGGAGTTTCCATCATCCCTTAACACCTGCAGTAAACATAATTACTGTATCATTTCCTCATAGGCGAGAATGCACAACATAGAAGGACTGGCTTTACAAATTTACACAAGCTTCCTGTTTGAATGGTGTTACTTTTAAACATGGAATTAAGTTTATTCTCCTCCCTTCTCATTCAATAATCAGTGATATTTATTCCAGAGGACTGGCTTTACAAATTTACACAAGCTTCCTGTTTGAATGGTGTTACTTTTAAACATGGAATTAAGTTTATTCTCCTCCCTTCTCATTCAATAATCAGTGATATTTATTCCAGTTTGACAGTGATGCAAAATCCACTGATGACAAAAAATGTTTGTATACCAGGTTTCTCCCCATTCTTACTCTTGTTTTAAAATGCCTTTTCCAGAACCACAGCTAAATATAAAGAAGCAAAATAACAAACATTTGCAATGGTCGTTTTTAATTACATATCATGCATTCCCTCCACCACTCTCAATTTTACAGTTCACAACTTTACAAAATCCATATTTTCTGATTCCTCAGTTACCTTTATGTAACTAGTCACTCTAATGATGCTTCCATACAGGACTTGCCCAAAGCATATTGTTGTCTAAATCCTGAAGAAGAAGAAGAAGAAGAAGAAGAAGAAGAGTACAGTATAGTACAATTCAGGTGGCTGCTTTTAGATGAAAAGTTCATGGTAAAATCAGTCAGCAGGTCTTGTGCAGCCCTCTCAATGGGTGCTATGAAAGAACAGAATATTGGAGACTCAGAAAATACATATCTTGCAAAGGAGTGGCCCTAATGTACCCTCTTAAGACACATTTCAGAGGTTGGGCTGCCACTCCTGGACACTGCTATCATATTGAAGGGGTACATTTATAGCATACAACCTGTGCTCATGGAAGCTCAGTTCAGTGCTCCAAGAAAGTAGCCAGATTCATATGTCCAACATCAGCTTCCCGGTGCTTTTAGGTCTCATTAATTGCTCTCTTTCTCTATCTGGTATACTCAACAGCTTCTCTTCTTGTATTATTGCTGCACAGGCATGCAGCAATAGATATTGTTTGATAGCCCAATTCAGCATTCCATAAGCCAACTAAAAAAATAGGGTTGCCACAAACTAAAAATTATAACTTTGAAATGACCTTGGATTGGCACCAAATTTAGCACAGATATAGCAGGCAATCTGCTTTTGCACTGTGTCAAATTTAAGGATGCTTAAGCAAATGGTTTTTCAGTTAATTCAATTCCTTTATTACAATCAACAGAGTTGTCATGTTTTAAGTAAACTGTTTTACCACCCACTGTGCAGAGATCGGCAACCTTTTCTGTCTGCAGATTTAAAACAGATCAAATACATCAAAAAGACCAAACCCACTTACTTTGGAAAAGAATGGTTAGTCACAGCTTCCCCCACCACACACACTTGTTGAAAAATTGCTTTGTGTTTGAGTGAGAAATGATTAACAGATAAAAAAAGAGATTCAGCTTTTCTATTGTGTGGTATTACTTTGTGAATGGCAGTGAGGAGACGAGGATATGCTGGAGACCATCTTGACTGCTGCCATTGGTGTTGCCATCCTTCAGGCTGCCCTTTGCTATGTACCTAAAGCTTGGCATCCTTTTTCCTACTGGTAATGTGGACATGATGTTGTGCAGCAATACTGAGCGATTCCCTGGCTTTTTGAATCATACGGAAGCACAGTATTCCACAGGGTTTTTTTAAAAAAAAAACCAGAGGGTTTTTTAAAAAAAAGAATTGAATTTGTTTGTACATATACAGTACCTAGCTTGCCTCCTCATTCTGACTTGCAGAGAGCAGCGAAAAAAGGAAGCTTTTTTTCCTCCATCCATCTTTTCACTTTTCTGAGCCAGGCACCTGTAATTTCCCTAATAACAGAGGTGGCTGCCTGTTTAGAAGCTTTCAGCAATCCAACTGAGCCTACCAACCCTCTCCTGTTCAAACCAAACACACACACACACACACACACACACACACACACACACACACACCCCAGTGTGCAGCTTTCAGTAAGCAGGCGTGTTATAATGAGATGCTTATTTGTGCATTTTCTTCCCTTCCAGTGGCCTGCCGAAAAGCTCTGGACAGTACAACAGTAGCAGCCCATGAATCGGAAATCTATTGCAAGACATGCTATGGGAGAAAATACGGCCCCAAAGGGATTGGTTATGGTCAAGGCGCTGGCTGCCTCAGCACAGACACCGGAGAGCATCTTGGGCTGGATCTGCAGCAGCAGTGAGTGAACCCCTGGGTGATTTGCTAGCAACCCTTTCCATTGCATCCAATTCCCTTTTTCAGTTTCCATAACAACACGCCAGGGAAGTCGCAGCAAAGACTTCCTGGACACTGTCTTCAATAGAGCTCATCATTTTTTTTAAAAAAAAAAACTCATGTTAATGAGACTCAGTTCTTGGAGAGCATTACTTTAAAATTATTCTCTGTTCCAGTGGGCAATTATGGTACAGAAAGAGCCATTGCGTTGGGAGTCATTGTAGAGTTCCATATTCACAGCAATTGTAGCTCAGTAAGTGTGGTACTATTAAAGACATAGGTTGTCTCAGTACAAATCATTACACTGTATTATACGAAGACATTATTACTGCTGGAGTACTAGTCACAATGCATTCTGCTGTTAAGAGAGTTTTCCCTCCTCCTCTCTATCTACTGGGAGGCAGAAAATTTGCTTAAGGTTAGGGGTTACAGTTTCTGCTGTAGAGTTTTGTGCTCTTACAAATTTAATAAAGAAGGGAGGGAATGGAAGTAAAGAAGAAGAGTTGGAGCCTGATTAGACTAGTGGTGCTAATATTCCATCAGTTCCAAAGAGCTTTTTGGCACATGAAGAATTACAACCTTGTGACCTTTGGCAAACTTTGTTGGAACTCAGTAGGTCTTAATTCCAAGCATGTCCTCCCAAATGGTCAAACCTGTGTGAATAGGAGAGTGCCAAATGAGCTGCCATGTAGGTAAAGGAGTACCCTTGCTATTTCAAAAGAAATAGCAGGTGTATGCCTGCATAGTCCTTTGTACATTGATACTTTCCGTCTACTGAACGAATAGGCCCCCTGCAGATACAGGAGTTCCATCAAGGTGACTGGGGAGAACTCCAGACAGAGGGTTTCCTATAGAATCTTTTTAATATGAGGAGGAGCACTGGCTTCTTCAACTAACATGAAATCCCTCTTGGAACACAGTGCAACATCTGACTTGAAAGAAATATAGAGCTTAATTGAGTAGGTTTGGGGTTTTCTGGACCCCTGAGGAGGTGATGCAGGCCCAACAGCTTGAACCAGCTTCTGTCCAAAATACACACTATTCCTTCCTTTCCTCCTTCAAGATCTGCAAGTGCTTAAGCTTCCTAAGCTTGCCTGCTAAAAAGGAAACAGCCGGAGGAATCTCGGCAGCTGCTATATCTTTCTTTCCATAATAGATTTTCTGTGGCAACAAAAGATGGAGAAAGCAACAGGGAAATATGGGGAGATTACAACAAGCAACAGTGGCTGAATCAATGCCACGAGTTGTAGCACTTGATTCCATAGGGCTGGGATAAGATTTTCCTAAACTGAGGTCCCTCCTGTCTGTAACTAGAACTATCTGAGATGGCTTGAACTTGAGCTAGAGTAAGGTCAAATTCTGGTTTGCAGTGCATGAGGTGGCAGCTTCACTAGATCTGTGGACCGAGATCAAGTACTTGTACCAAGTGCTGAACTGTGTCCCCTGTTTGGAGGGCCCAGCGTTGTTTACCCCTTCTGATTTAGCTCTTTGATTCTAGTTTTGTATTGTAGGTTTTATATTGCAGACCAGTTGCAGAAGCAGTGTTCAGTCTAGTCAAAAGAAACAAAACTCTCAAAACAAATTACTTTTAGTACATGAAAGGAACTTTGAGATTTGAGTCCACAATCAGTGGGTAAAGCACCGGGCTCATTATCATTAGGTTTTCATCATCGTTTAGTCATTTAGTCATGTCCAACTCTTCGTGACCCCATGGACCAGAGCACGCCAGGCCCTCCTGTCTTCCACTGCCTCCCGGAGTTGGATCAAATTCATGTTGGTAGCTTCGATGACACTGTCCAACCATCTCATCCTCTGTCATCCCCTTCTCCTCTTGCCCTCACACTTTCCCAACATCAGGGGCTTTTCCAGGGAGTATTTTCTTCTCATGAGATGGCCAAAGTATTTGAGCCTCAGCTTCAGGATTTGTCCTTCCAGTGAGCACTCAGAGATGATTTTCTTTAGAATTGATAGGTTTATTCTCCTTGCAGTCCAGGGGACTCTCCCTTGTCTGGAACCAACATCTTTTATAAAGAAACAAACAAAAAATTGATCAGAGGAGTTTGTTAATTTGTTTTTGCAAGTAACAGTTTGTGTTGGTATGAAAACTTCAACATATGTCTGAATTACAGTGACAGGCTAGGACTCAGGAAACTTGGGTTCAAATCCTATGGAAACTCACTTGCGAGGGCAGGGGGTGTGGCAGCACTGGTAAAATTACTCCTTAAATATGTCACAGAACTTGAAAACCCAGTTAGGGTCAGATGTGTCTTAATGGCAAATAACATCCACTCACCAATAATTATATTGACCTCAATATCTGGCCAAGCGCCTCCTTCCAGTTAGATCTACGGGCACTTCAATGCATTCCAATGGGGGAGAAAAAATTCACCAAAAATTAACGAAGAGTCAGAAACTGTTTTAAATGCTTGGATTCGTTAGAGCACCTTGTAAAATGCGTGCAAACTTAATTTGGCTTTGTTCTGAGTCTTCGTTAATTTTTGGTGAATTCCCCCCCCCCATTGGAATGCATTGAACCCGATTTTGACAGCTGGGAACGGATTATCCGGTTTTCAATGCATCTCTATGGGAAAATGTGTTTTGCTTAGCGATGTTTTCCCATAGCAATGTGTTTTTTGGACCAATTAAAATCGTTAAGCGAGGCACCACTGTATTTGTTTTCACTGCACTTTATGATACATATTTGATTTATGCCCCAATTATATTGATAATGTATTGTTTTGATATTCTGTTGTTTATCTGTTGTAAACCGCCCAGAGTGGCCTTGGCTGCCAGATGGGCAGTATATAAATCAAATAGTAATAATGACAATAGCATATGAAACATTATTTAGCATAAGTTGCAACTATAATAAGCCCACTGAATCAATGGAACTTATAGAGGAATCAAGTCATGAAATCCCTACAGATTCAAAGGGCCTACTTTAATTGGGACTGACTATGCTAAGCAACAGGATTTTAGCTAATGGCCAAAATCTTCTTGTGTAAAGTTATGTCTTCCCAAGCTGACAATGTCATCATCCACAGGTTTTTTATCACTCTTAAAAGTTTCCTGTTCCATACATGCGTGCACACTCATGCATGCACGCACACACACACTGCAGGTTCAGATTTCTTTGAGCAGGGAAAGCTTTTGAGAGTCTTGGGACGAGGTGTGTGGGAGAGCCTTTAATGCTCAAAAATAACTTCCAACACTCCTATACTGGCGGTGGGATTGTTGATGGCAATGTTCAGGCATTAAAGGTTGCCCCACATCTTGAAGATCCCAAAGGCTTTCCCAGGTCAAAAGATCTCCTAAGAGAACCTCAGAACCTGGGAGGTACTGTATGTGGAAACTTATTATGAGCAATAAAAGCCCATGGTTGATGACATCATCACCTTGTGCAGCCATAAATTTACACAAGAGGATTGTGTCTGATAAGAGTCTTCTGCACATAATGTATATTATAATTGTATTGATTCTGTTTATACTTGTGCGGTTATTCTGTGTTACTCACATCTGATCTGTTGATCGTAATAAAGTATTCTTCTTCCTCTGGAAATTTTACACATTGAAATACATTTTTTCAGAATAGAATGCCAACTGAAGATTTGATGTGAGGAAAGTTAAAGAGAGAGATCACAGTTACCCATGTAGCTAAAATGGCATGATGGCCTCAGTAGTCTTGGGGGAGCCCCAAGGTTCACAAAATACTATACAGTATATCTTCTGGGCAGGAAGCCTAAGAGGGAAGAGAAACGGAGGAAAGAGGACTGAGCACGCTCAGTGGCCATGGAATTCTGGTTGGCTGCTGAGGAGAAAAAAGATTGCTGAGAAGGAGAAAAGAGCAGTAAGGAGGAGAGGAAAATGAAATGGACTGGCTCAAACCCTGAACAACTGCAACATCTTGTCACAAGTCCCGCTTGTCCCATTTTGTACAACAGATATGGGCCTAAAGGAGGCATTTATCTCCCATCATGTGCTTCTGGAACATTCATGCCAGGGAATTCTGTCTGGTTCACATCTAAGAGGGGCTGACAATTGAGGAACACAAAGGTCACGTCAGGAGAGATTTCAAACCATCACTGGCAAGCTTTAGGACGCTACCTGGAAGAAAAAAAAAAAGAGGGATTAAATGAAAAGATTTCCAGCTGAAGCAACATATTGCTTCCCCCTCCATTATTCTATCTGACATAGACAATGCTTCTTGAAGGACATTGTGAATCGTTGCAGAATCCTGGAGGCTGGATGATAAACGAAAATGCTGACTTTTTCTTTTATTTGTAATTACTACAATTTGCAGCAACCTCAAGAAGAACAGAGGAAAGTTGCTCTGTAGCTAGTTTTCCTACCCTTGTTTTTGGTGCCCTGGCTTCTGTATAGTGCTATGAATGGAAATCCTACCACCTAATGATAATGAAGGTCATCAAGATGATGATGATGATAGTGACATTTATTATCTGGCCTTTTCTCCAATGAGCTCAAAGCCATGTACATGGCAGTGCTCTTCCCCATTTTGCACTCACGGCGACAACCTTGAAAGGCTGAGAACAGAAAAAGATGTTATAGAGAGTTGGAGAAATCAGACTTTAGACTAATCCTCACCTTAAATCGTACAGATCGCAAAACAAAGCAAGCTAAAGTCTGGGATATGAGGCAGGCTCTTGTTGTGGTATACATTATTAGTCCCTAAGGATTTTTCTCTTCTGAACATGAGCTTGCTATCTATAATGTCCATTTCTGCCATGGGAAAGTGTTACTGGCCCAAGGTCATCAAATGTGTTTCATGGTTCACTGCAAATCTGGATTTCACAAGTACTTTAACCATTGTATCCCACTGCGTCTCTGTAAGCCAGGGTGAGCAAACTGTGATCCCCTGCTAATTAAAGGCTTCTGCACACCACAGACTCTCCATATCCCTGTCAGGAGAAAGGCCTATAAATAAGACAAGCAAGTAAGGAAATGTACTAGAAGTTGCTGGATAGCTCAGTGGTAGGTATCTGGCTGAGGAGCCAGGATTGGGGAATTTGATTCCCTACTGTGACTCCTTCACAGGGGCTAGACGTGATGATTCATGGGGTCTCTTCCAGCTCTGCAGTTATAAGATCCATGATGATGATGATGAATCTCCAGAACCAATATAGAACAAATCCGCCCACCTCTAAGCATCCCCAAAGAAATGGAAATAAAGCTATAGAAATCATAAGCATTAAAAAAAAACCACACAATTTGTTCTGGTTGGACCAAAAAAAATGGCCCTTATTCTTTTGCTTTGCTTACTCCTACTCTGTTGCATTTTTCATGGTTGAATAGTTTCATGCTGTATTTTCACCCATTTTCTGTGCTTGACTATTCTCTCTTGATGTCTCTCAGCCTTTTAAGACTGAGTGTATCTTTACTAAATGTCCTGAAGTGCTTTTTAAAATACAGTAATACTTCACTGTTAAGGCTTTGGGGCTGTTTTTTGAGTGAAGTTATTCCCACATACCTGTAAAGGTCGCTTAGTTACATATTCTTTCCTATCATTTTTAGGAAGATATTTATTTCCAAAGAGTAGGTTTCCCTCCTTTTCTACTTTGTACATGTACAAAGAAAATTACCTTTAACAAATCCACCTTGGTGGATAGTAGTGGTCACTATGGAATCCAGGCAGCTGTTTCTTTGCATTAATTACTTTGGTTTTGATTTGCTTGTTTGTTGTTGTTTTTTCAAACCATGGGCATGATCTCTCCTTTTTTTAATGACCTAGCCTTAGGGCAATTTCTGTGGAACTTGTAGCAGTTGTATCATAAAGTGAACTGCGGTGCTAGGAACAGCATTATCTGAAGGCAGCTTTATGTTATGCATTTACTACAGATAGGGAGGCATAGATTACAACTTTCAGAGCAATTTAATTAGGAACAGCTGCATTATTCAGTCATTCACTTGAAAGAAACAAGCTAATGCCAGCTCTAGCATGAGCTAAACCCTGCAGTTTTGAGGATATCCTCTGTTCCGTTGAATATTTTTGCATTCTTCCACCAAATGTGAGATTTCATCTTGCATAGCTTGATACAGACACATACATTATGCCTATAATAGTGATTAGGTCAGACATCGTTTAATTTATCAGATCTGGAATTTAAAACTTTATATCTTTTCTTGCCATCAGCTCGCCAAAGCCAGCTCGTCCTTCAACACCAACCAACCCTTCTAAGTTTGCCAAAAAGTTTGGAGATGTAGAAAAATGCCCTCGTTGTGGGAAGTCAGTGTATGCAGCCGAAAAGATAATGGGAGGAGGAAAGGTAAGAAAAAGGGTTAGCCATGTGAAGCACCATTGAATTATAGCAGAAGGACAGCTACCAAAACAAATGCTTTAGCTATCCACTTTGTTTCAAAAGGCAACGTTGACTTAACATTTTAAAACTGGACACAACTGATCCAATATTGCTCCACTTTGTTTCAAAAGGCAACGTTGACTTCTTAACATTTTAAAACGGGACACAACTGATCCAATATTGCCTCAATGCAATAGGCACACTTACTTAATTTGGGAAACATATCTTATTGAAGTAAGTGGACTGTACTTTAAGTAGACATGCCTAGAGCTATCCTATAAAACAAAACGACCCCAAAATATTCTGCTATCTGTGGTAAAAGACAAGTTGGTGCCCTTCCTCTTTCTGGGCACAGAAACTACCTAGACTAGCAGCTCAGTCAGACATTTTAGTCCTGTATACCTGAGGGATGAGGCTAATTGAAAGAGCTCATAATAAGTTGTGTGGCTGAGTACAATCAGAGACTGGAAGTTAACTTGACTGTATTGGTTGGGTGATTCCAGAAGTTGCAGTCTGAAAAAGTAGCTTTTCCGGGCACTGTGAACAGTGGCAGAATTCATAAGTAATAGCCAGTGGGCTAATACTGCATTGTGATGCTGTGTGTGACTTTACCTAATCATTTTACATATGCTGTAAAAAGCGTGCTGCTTTTTACATTTCATTCCCATTTATTTTACATACACACAGCCTTCCTACTAAAAAAAAACCCTTTGGTCACATTTTGCCCTACATGGGCCAGCATTAGGAAGTGTTTTTACGATTTCCATCTCCAAAATATGTAGGATTTGGAGTGCAAATGTACAGTTGTGCTGTGATTTCCTTATACTCTTTTGCTTTTTGTTTCAGCCTTGGCACAAAACATGCTTCCGATGTGCTATCTGTGGAAAGAGTCTAGAGTCCACAAATGTTACAGACAAAGATGGAGAAATTTACTGTAAAGGCAAGTATAACAGAGTGTACATAATACAACGGAGAGAAATTTTAGTAAGATGCAACCTGTACATACTTGTGTTGCATTGATCATGGTGGCATATTTATAGGGTTATGAACCCAGTGGGATTTTATCTTCTAAGGCACTGGTTCTTAACCTTGGGTTACTCAGGAGTTTTGGACTGCAACTCCCAGAAGCCTTCACCACCAGCTGTCCTGACTGGGGTTTCTGGGAGTTGCAGTTCAAAAGCATCTGAGTAACAAAGGTAAAGAACCAATGTTCTAAGGTCCCAGGCAAGGGTGTATGCTGATCTTCCATTTACCTTATATAAGGCCTGTTTGGACCTTAATGCCACAGGGTTTCTGCATGTAACAAATGTTGTCCATCATTTGCAGGAAAACACTGAATTCAATAAAGTCTTAAAACAAAGGGAAAACTTCTTCTGGGTCATTTCATTTCAGGTTCCCCATGTGTGGTTTCTAATACTCAGAAGCCCTACAGTATCCTTAAAATCTCTTAAACTACTAAAAAAGAGCAGATGGAGGCAGGCAGCAAAATCTAAGCTGGAAAGCACTAGGAGCTAACATATCCACAAGCAAATGACTGAAGCAAAGAAAGAGCATTCTTCATTGGGTTCCAAAGGTTAAACAAAAGAGGAAATAAAAAAAACCACAAAACTTTTGTGCACCCCTTTTCCATTAATACAAACCCTTCATGTTCTCGTAGGGGCTCTGTTTTGGAAATCCAGAAAAGTTCATGCAAACAAGAAAGGTAGCTTCCGTTGTGTTTTGTTCTTTTGTTAAAACAGAACGTTGTAGTTTTAAAAGTGCTACCAATATGCATGTTAGAATGGACTTACCTTTTCAGAGGGTATGGCTGTGGCAGGGAAGTTAAGAGATGGTGTTAATGGGATAGTGGTGCAACTACAATAAATACTTCATATGTCTATTTCCCAGCTGTGCCAGCCATGTTACTGGCAGAGCTAGTGAACTGGTAAGAGCTCAAACCACAACTAGGTAGCAGCCATTATCTATACTGTACATAACCTCATTCCTAAATAGACTTACTGAATAATTACCAAAATATTGGTGATGACGACTAGCAGTGTACAAAAAAGTTTTTAAGGGTTCCTTAGAAAGAGACAAAATGATGCAGCAGGGAAATAGAGTTATGACAATTGTACACACTTTGACCTATAATAGACATCTGTACAAAGATATTCTGGAAGTGGTGAGTTTTGGGGAGGAAATTTCACCTGGGCTAGGGAATTTCAGAAGCTTTGCCCTTAACTCCTAGCAACATGAACCAGATCCATGATAAGATTAAACTCTAACTTGACTTCAGCAAAACCTTGGACAAAGTGCCCCATTATACTGTATTCTGATTAGCAAACTAACTAGCTGTGGGCTGGATAGAACAATGGTCATGTGGATACACAGTAGGTTACAAAATTGTACTCAGAGAGTGCTTATTAATGACTCTTCAAACTGGGAGGAGATAACAAGTGTGGCACCATGAGGCTCAATCCTGAGCCTGGTATTCTTCAGCTTTTTTTAATGACTTGCATGAGGGGATTTGGGAATACTTGCAGATGACAGAAAATTGGGTGGAATAGGTAATACCTTGGAAGACAGCAACAAAATTTAAAAAGATCTTGATAGGCTTGAGCACTAGGCTGAAAACAACAGAATGAAATTTAACAGGTATAAGTGCATAGTTCTACACTGGTTGAGGAGGGGGGAGAAAATGCACAGTTACAAGATGGGGATTGCTTGGCTCAGTGAGAAATACAAGTGAGAAATATCTTGGAATTGTTGTAGATCAAAAACTTAGTATGAGGTGTGACGTGGCTGCAAAAAAGGCAAATGCTATTTTAGGCTGCATTAACAGAAATATAGTCTCCAAAGCCCGTGAGGTACTAGTCCACCTCTGTTCAGCACTGATTAGACCTCATATTGAGTACTATGTCCCATTCTGGACACCACACTTGAAGAAGGGTGTCAGCAAACTGGAACAAATTCAGAGAAGGGCAACAAGAATGATAAAGGGACTGGAAACCAAGCCCTATGAAGAAAGACACAAAAAAAACTAGGTATATGTAGCCATGAGAAAAGAAGACTGGGGAGATAAGATAGCAGTTTTCAAGTATTTGAAAGACAGCCACAGGGAGGAGGGGCAGGATCTGTGCAGGACATGTAACAATGGGCTTAAGTTTCAGGAAGCCAAATTTTGGTTGAACATCAGGGAAACTGTCTTAATGTGTAGAACAGTATGTCAGTGGAACCAATTACCTGAGGAGGAAGTGAGCACTCCAATGCTGGGGCCATTAAAGAGAAAATTACAACCTTATCTCAGATATACTTTGATTTGGATTCCTGCACTGAACAGGGGGTTGGACTCAATGGCCTTATAGGACCCTTCCAACACCATTATTCTATGATTCTATGTTTCTAGAAGGCCAAAAATGATCCAGCCTCCAGTTAAAGAAAGTAAGAAAGGTGCTTGATTATGAGTGCCTTACGAAAACAGCTAAATATATTTCTTTCTCTTACAGTTTGCTATGCGAAGAATTTTGGTCCTAAAGGAATTGGCTTTGGTGGCCTCACACAAGTTGAAAAGGTGGAGTAAGCTGTCCCCCACCTAGAACTTTCTAAATAGTAACACAGGATAAAAAAGAAGATCTTAAGATCATTTTTTTCAACTTACTGAATAAATAAGCTACTTCCTTATGCAACACTTGTGTATTTTGGTGCAGAAAACATTTCATTTCTGAACAAGAACAACAAAACAGACTTAACACCTTAAGATGACAATGTCATTCTAGAATTCTTGATTTCAAAGGAAATGAAAGCAGAGTGTAGACACACACGTCTGCTGGATTTTTAAAAAGTCAATTTTAATCTCAGAACAAGGATAAGTAAGGTCCTATGGCAGGAGATCCTAACAAGAAAATGAGTCCAAGAAGGGTGGGAGCTTCTAAAAAAAGAAATTCTAAAGGAACAACTACAAACAATTCCAAAAAAAGGGGGAGGTGGCAAAAAAGGCCAGTGTGGCTTCACAAAAAACTCAGGGGGGACCTAAAAACCAAAAAAGACATGTACGGGAAGTGGAAAGCCAGGCCACCAAGGAAGAGTACAGACAAGTAGCAAGGAAATTTGTTCTCAATCATCCCAGACTGCAGGACACAGAACAATGGGCTCAAATTAAAGGAAGTCAGATTTCGGTTGAATCTCAGGAAAAACTTCCTAACTGTTAGAATAGTATGACAGTGGAGCCAGTTACCTTGGGAGTTGGTGAGTGCTCCAACACTGGAGGCATTCAAGAAAAACAGATAATCACCTGACAGATATGCTTTTGATTATATTCCTGCATTGAGTAGGGGGGTTGGACTTGATGGCCTTGTAGGCCCCCTCCAAGTATGGGTATTGACGAAAATATATTTACTTCTGAATTACAAGCAAATATTTTTGAAGGTCTTCTGAGTTTAATGGAGGATTGCTAAAATGACTTTCTCAATCATGACTCTGATATCCACCCTTTGCTGTTTAAATCACTCGTAAAAAATCCTAAATGAACATAACTTCTAATTTCAGCAAAATACACTAAGTTTTATTTCATCATATTCTTTAATAAAATAATTTCTAACAGAGAAGACTTGCTGGGAATAAGAGTGAATGTAGAGGTGCATCAATTCAGCATGCTCTCTGCTTCTATAAAGACAATAAATATGTACAGTATGTTGTTTATCCTGTGTGATTTGAAAGAGAATGCATTGCATATTAAACTAAGTGAACTGCTCAGCAAACATTAGGTTGTTTTCACTTATTGTTTCCACTTATACTGTAAGAATTAGACCCATCTGTCCCAGTAAGTTGTTCCCACAGTAGCCAGACAGCCAGATGGCTTTAGAAAGCCCACAGGCGGGACCTGGCTGTGACTACACTCCATGTGCTCTCTTGCAACTGCTCTGCAGAGGCCCCGAATACAGGAGGTAATGCATAGCTATCATGATTGGTAGCTATTGACAGGCTTACCCTCCATGAGTTTGTCATTCCTGTTTTAAAGCCATCTATTGTCAGTGGCCATCACGAGGAAGTAAACTGCATTGTTTTAACAATGAGTTATATAAAGTATTTCCTTTTATGTGTCCTAAAACTCAACATTACTTGGGTTTATGGATGACTTGGTTTTATCAATCCTCCAGAGGTTTCAGGGGAACACAAATGGTGCCTTCCTAGAACATTTTATTTTCACCACAACCCTACAAGTTTATAAGCCAGAGACAAGCGCAAGACTACGTGGCAAGCTTCATGACAAAGAGAAGATTTTTGTGCTGGCTCATTATTCTTCTTAATATATGTGGATCTGTAGCTAACAGCCCTGCCCTCACCTGTCCATCACAGCTGAGCAGTGGAGAAGGAGCCAATGAGTGGATGGAAGCCGGTGCCAAGGGAGGAGTGGGCTGGATATAAAGGCTGGTGTATGGAGTAAGGCGAGAGATTCTGTGAGTGAGACAGTGTGAAACTTAAAAGTGAACTTAGAGTGAGTTAGAGGCCTGTAAGAACGCTGAATAGAACTGAGAGTTAATAAGAGTTCTAAAGTTAAAGTGGAATTGACTTAAATACAAGTGATTAGCAACCCGTGATTTACTTATTGATTAATAATACTATATGAACTTCCCTGAGATAATAAATAAGTTTTAAAAACACACTTGTCTCCTTGATTAAATGGTATTGAAGCAGCAATACCTGGTGGCAGCGAAGAAACAAGAGCGAGAACCTTGTGAAGACCTGAGGGAATAAGGGCTTCAGAGGGGATTACCACAGGATCCTTCCCCCATAGAAGTGTTGATTTATTGAGAAGCTGAACTGAGGATCTTTTAAAACAAAAGCAAGAATCTAGTTGACAGGCGGACAAAGTGCAGCCCACAGCCTCCAATTGCACTAAACCCTTGGTTTATGTGTGAAGCTCAATGAGAAAGAAGCCCACTGGGATACATTAGACTTACAGTTGCACAGAGTCCCCAAAAATCAGACCAGTCTCCAAAAATCTGTCTCTCCTTTTTAATTCTCTTCAGATCCAAAGTAAAGGCTGGGAAATGCACTTGGGCTGTCTCCTTCTCTTCCCTTTTCCGAAACGTTCAGAGAAATCCCAAATAGGGCTGAAATTCCTTCCCCAGAGACCTCTTGGAGGATTTCTAGCCATGTTCAGTGGATGGCTTGTCTAAAGACACTAAATATCAGTTAAATTAAGCAGAACTTGGCAAATACATTGTTGGACTTTTGATAATATATCCTCCATTGCTTGGTTGGCTCACTAACACGCTGTCCCTCGCGCTCTCTCTTTCCCCTCTGCCCCCTCATTTAAAAAATTTTCTGAATCTTTCTACAGCTGAAGAATGCAACTCTTCTGACCTTCTGATTGTCATCCCTATCGTTGTGGGCGTGCTGGTTGGCCTGCTTATCATTGTCCTTTTTGTCAGAGTGGCTATCAGTCTGTTTAACCCTTTTGCTGCTGCTCCTTCTTTTCCTTTTGTTTTCTTTCCCTCTTTGCCTCTTAACAGACTTTTTTTGAGAATGATTTTTCTAACATTAAAAAAAGAAAAAGGGAAGTACTGTAGGGTCAATGTCTCTGTGCACGTGGTGTGGGGAGCAAACACTGATCAAGCCGGGCTGCCTCCTTCTGACTCTTCAGCGGCTTTTCAGAAATATTGACATACCTTTTTTCCTGACAGAAGAACCACTGGAAATACCTCTCCTGCCCCTCATACGCATTCCTGGAGGAACCCCCCCAGTTATCACATCAGCATCAAAGGCTGGTTCCTATGGCAGTGACTGAGGAAGTGGCAGGAAAATCCAGTGGGTCTTCATTGGGGGTAGTTTTTAACTTGCTTTATTTTTACTGCCCTGCCACAATCCAAAGCATGGTGCACCAGTTGTACATACCGGTACTTGAGGGAGCATTTGACTCTGTGGAGAGAGAGTCCCTCTGTGTAGCAAACTTTTTTTTAACCAGTGTCATTTTGATATGGCATCTAGAAAGAGCAGGTGTGGTATTTCTCCTCCAGTATCCCTGCTTTTGGATGGGACGTGGTGGCGTTGCAGGTTAAACTGCAGAAGCCTCTGGGCTGCAGGGTCGGAAGACCAGCCATCATAAGATCGAATTCATGCAATGGAGCGAGCTCCCGTCACTTGTCCCAGCTCCTGCCAACCTAGCCATTTGAAAGCATGTAAAAATGCGAATTGATAAATAGGTACCACCTCGGTGGAAAGGTAACAGCGTTCCATGTCTAGTCGTGTTGGCCACGTGACCACGGAAACAGTCTTCAGACAAACGCTGGCTCTATGGCTTGGAAACAGGGACAAGCACCGTGCCCTAGAGTCGGACACGACTGGACTAAATGTCAAGGGGACCTTTACCTTTACCTGCACACAGTTACCTTTTCAATCCTAAGAAAGGCAGCAGGGTTGTTGTAACTGTCTTTACAGTTTGATGTGCATCTTGCAAATGGCACTATCTTTTGCCAGCTGTTTCTAAACATATCAGTACAACTGAGAGAAATATTCCACTCAGCAGTGGCGTATTTAGGGTAACAGCCAGTTTTTACTTTTGAGTTATAAATAAGATTCCTGTAGAGCATTTGAAAAGCCAACAATTACAATATACTATAATATGTAACACTCTAATTTAATAATATAAGTATAAATATACACAAATAGTGTTTATATACAGATCTACATGCAGAGAGATATCATTTGCTAAAAGTTACAAATCAGATTTCATATACTAAAACTTTGACATTTCAAAATAATTATTTTATTTAATCAAGTGCAAATTTCAATAGGCAGACAGGTAAATGATGCATAAGGTTTCCAGACTGCATTATTAAAAATACATCATTCAATTTTTTTAAAAAATGACATTTCACAGTTATATTTCCTTCCAAGTAAAATTATTCAAAAATGTCATATGAATCACAGAAGTCACTGCATTATCCAGTTTGCTGCAGTTTGTGCATGTAAACATTTTTCTTTCCAAAATAGCAGAGGAAATTACATAATTTGTCATATACTTTACAATATACCAAATTAAAAAAAATTCTATAAGCTTCCAGCATACCCCAAGAACTGGTACAGGTTTATTTTATACAGGGTGAACATCTTGGTCCATTAGTGAATGGAATTTTTGTGTGTACTGTTTAGTCCAGTCTACTACATTGGGCTTGAACATCCCAAAGCATCTGCACTGAAAGAAGTCTGCTAGGTTCTGGAGGCATCCATGACTAGGAAAGAGAAGAAAACATACAGTGAGAGAAGAGAGGTTTTACTTCATTGAGCGGTAAAATAAAGAATATGAAATGTTTATGGTGGCTCCCTTGGGAATGTGTTGTAGACACAGACAACACTGACAGAATTACAGTGTCATAATCAAGTCAACAGTTACCTGGGATACTTCAACATCAAGCAATACCTGTACAGACCTCATATGGACAAGTTGGTTCTTACATATAATATTTTCATACAAGTGCTCAGTCTCATTGAAATCTTGAATTTCTGCCATGTTATCTTTTCCCTTATGCTGGCATAATTTACACAACAGAATTCAGGCCATTACCTCTTACTTTTCCAATATACATCCTGAAGAGTGTGCGTGATATAGCATTCTTCTGAATACTTATAAAAAAATTTATTCTATGCAGCTATAACTCCCACCACCGCCACCACCATTATCCTAATATGATGGAATCCTTGTTGCAGTCAAAGTAGATTTCAAAACAGCATTGTTAGTTTATCTTGCTTTATGTTTATTTTTACAGTAATGGATACAGCACTGGCACCAGCAGAGGCAGAGATATTTGTTACATTCTACCACTGAAGTTCCGTGAGCTGGTAAAAACAGAGATCACTCTCAAAATATTACATACTTATATGGAGTTTTCCTCAGTGAGATGGGATGCTTTGAGCGTTTACTTTGTCTCCAGAGAGTAATCTTTTCATGGGAGGTCAATCCAAAAAATGCAATCTTGAAGAAAAGGAATTAAAAAAGCAAAATGTTTATGAAAAAGCAATTAAATGAGTTGCTTAAACAAATGAGACATCACCTGAAGTGTCAGGGATACCCAGAACATAATAAATATTTTCATATACTATTGTTGAACCATAAGAAAAATACATACCTAAGTGTAAACACTGAAAGAGAGCAAGCAACTAATACTGATATTAATAATCACTGTCTCCAATTTGTGATAGAAGTCTTATGGTAGTCTATCAGAAGCTGTCTTTGGAACTAATTCATGATAGAAATGGAAAATATCAGTCTGTCAGAATGTTTGCTGAAACTGACTTTCTTTGTCATATATTGAGTAAGATGTGCCAACACTAGGTCTATCCACTCTCTGGAATTTGCTGCCAGAGTGACACTGAGATTTGGTGCTGTGACACCCCACCCATCCCCACTCCTGAAAACTATTCTTTAATTTTGCTGAATTCTTCCAAGCACTTTTTTCTAAATAAAGTGCATGATCAAGTTTTATTCCTTTTTCCCCTAAGGATTCTTCGCCTTTGCTGTTGCACTATCACTATAAATGCAGAGACCAAAGTGAGTTGTGAGGATGACATTGCAGCACCCCAACCCCAGAATCTGCTGCCAAAGAATTTTCCCAAATCTTTTTCTATAGCTATACTGCTAGAAATATCATATAATTTAATAACAATTAATCTTATTTATAAAGCAAATGATGCAACCAGAATAACATCATTTTTATTCTGTCTACCTAGCACTGACAGTCTCAAGAGAGAACATCTCAGTACCCAAAAGAGATTTTGATTGTGTGAAATAAAATAAAACTTATAACTCAGCACAAACAGTTTGTTTTGCTACGATGGCAGAATAGAAACATTTTTCATTTTCCCACTTCATATCCCCCGGAAGCAGATTAGCTAAATAAACAATGAGTGGAAAAAAGAGAGAGTGCTAAAATCTGCTATCCTTTGAACAAAATCAAGTCACTGTTCACTTCCGAATTGCAAAAACACTCCATGTTTTCAGTAGCTAAGCTAAGCTGCTTGTTCTTTTAATAAAGAAAAAAGTAGCAAGCAATTTGGAATGATTTTCATTAACAAAAGCTTATACTTTGACATCCGAAATGACCTAAAGCACTGAACCAGAATTCCTTTTCCTGCTAAAGTTCAGGGATGAGTGTGGATTGTAGCCAACATAGTGTTGTCTACACACAATAATGTGGCATTAGCCACCATGGGCGAAACCATTTGTTTGCAAATGCATAAACAAAAAACCCTTAATGGGATACCCCAAATATACAGGAATAAGAAAAGAACATTTTTAGCAACCATAAAATGTAGACTGTTGGGTGTAAAAACGCACAAAAAGAAGAAAGGGGAAAGGAATGCAGTACCCTAGAGGAGACGTTCTGTATCGCATACTCAGAGAACTGCACGTTGCTGCATTACAACCCCCACTTACAAATTCAAAGTAGCACACATCACTTCTAAAGTCTATTGATTTACAGGAACACTCTTGATTGATATGAATGGATCTGAACTGTAGTTAGGACATGAACCCAAGGACAAGTTTCAGTTACATACATTGTAAGTATAGGGTGCTAAGAAAATAACATGAAACACAATGGTTTTAAGGAACACATATTAAATAAAATCATACAGTACCTGATAAAACTGAAGTATTAGCAGCAACGCACTCCATAAAGCATGGAAAGATGTGAGTGCAAAAACATACAACACCCAAGGAGAACAAGACACAATCTGTGTGAAAGATGTCCATGCTCCATCTTGATGATACGTTGTTGTGCAGTGTTCAGACCAGTCTAAGAGAATGAATTTTTAATTTTAATTTAATAATAGGTTTCTTGGAAACTAGCTGATAGTGAACTATCCAGAAGACCCATCATGTAAGCCTCCTGTGACCATACTGTCCACGTATTTAATTATCAAGAATACTAGCTTAATCTAAATATGGTCTGTGGATGTAAGCCTCCTGTGACCATACTGTCCACATATACTAGCTTAATCTAAATATGGTCCGTGGCTTTCTCACTGTGACAAGGATTAAAGATCAATTTGTGGCAGAATTCTATGAAACTAGAATAAAGAGGTATCCCTAGATATTGTTTCAAGATATTGCTAAAAAAAAGTGATAGTCGTTAACTTCACTGTCTCATATCTAACTATGTGTATGAGCAAAGGTCTGCAGTTTGCAAGCAGAAATACACATACAGAATATCTTCAGATCAAGTGCCTATTGTGGAATTGCTCTACAACGTTCACAGAATTTTACAGGGTCTTGCCATCATTACCTTAAATTGATAACCCACTGTAGTTCTTATTGCCTTTTCTATCTTTTTTTCTTATCAGAAAAAAAAATCTGTTATGGAGAGAATGACAGCACCTTTGAACCAGCAGCATTAGAAACAGCTCACCTGAAAGTCCCCACGGCTGTTTCTCCAGTTATCATAGGCATCCTTCAGTCTCGAGAACCTCTTACATTCTAGGGTAGGCTCTAGTTTTCTAACCTCAGCATTTTGAACTAAGTGCTACATGTACAGTAAATGGGATGAACATAGAGCAGTTTTTAGCAAACTAGTAAAATGAAAGTAAGGATACATACACAGAATTGCTCCGTATATAGCCCAAATATTCATCATTGTCAGGAAGAAGAGAAACAGCACAAAATAACAGTGATTTCCAACACCTAAATTATAAAAGTTGATAAGGATTCATTTCTTTCACAGTTAAAAAAAACAATAGCTTCCCCACATGTCACCCCATGGCATGAAAAGCTTTCCACAAAAATTTAAATATATGAAAAGCTGAGTACAGTTTAGTCATTTTAGACCTCATCCAAATGACAGCAGCATTAACAAACAGAAGTTTGCAGTGCTACAGTATGCATTGTTACATTCAAGAAGTCCTATTGAGTTTACTAAGGCTTGTGGTAATGCGTATGTACAGAACTGCAGCTACAGTAAATACTGCAGTTAGAATTCATAATGAAATAGGAATTAGCACAATTTATTCTTAAGTATTTCAAGGTGAGCTCTTTAAACAATACCTAACAGAGCAATCTCCATCTGAGACTACTGTACTCCTACACTCTACAATTCAGAGCTGAACGAGCTGCCGTCCCCTGTGGAGCCTGTCAACAATGCTTCACCCAACACTCAACTACTAGATATTCTGTGCATGATCTGTTAAGAGCTCTCCTTTCAAGTCTATAGAAATGTTTCCTGGCACCGACAAACGAGTCCTAAGTTTCCTAAAATAAACTCACCTACACAACGTCCAATCCAAATGCAATGCTGATCATACCGAGCTACACATGAATTGCAAGAATGGCAGTGCATGGACCTCAGAGGTTTTTTCACCTAGTAAAGAACAAAGGGGAAAATAATCAATCTTTGCTCTAAAGGACACATTCAAGTATGTCCTTCTTAATGTCTATACCAGGTCCATATAATAAACTGAACACGCTATATAATTTGTTTATTTATAAACCACATAAAACCACAAACAGGAACCACAATTACATATTTTGTTGATCAAGATCATGGCTTGGCTCCAACAAACCACCCAACCGAAACACCTGGATGCATATGCAAAATACTTCCACATATGAATGGGAGGGAAGATGGCTTCTTACTGACCTCACATATAGCACTATTCCAAGGGATTGTCAGTGTTTTAGTGGAGCTCAGTTAAAGAGTTATGGCCAGGAGACAAGGCTGAAAAGAACCCATGTGAAAAAGTAAGCAGCCTTATTTCCCCCTGGATATAAGCCCAGATGATTATTTAAAATGGTTGTACACACATGGTACCCCTTAATAAACCTCTCTGCTTTATTTAAAATCACTAACTGTACTTCAATGCTTGAGAATATTTTTTCTGTTTATTATTTGCAATTAAAAATGCTGCTTTCATTCTTGAATTCTAATCTGCTTTATTTATTAAAGATACTCACAAACCGTTTTTCAAGCTCAGGGCAGTAAAGAAGCATAAAAAGTCACAGTAATAGCACATGACTGTTTGCCAGCAGAAGCTGAGTTCAGGTGGTGCCTGTTTTACCCACCCCTCTCATATCATAGACACCCTTTGAAAGATGTTGCTGAAACGTTCAGACACAAATTCCTGGCTTCCCTTCCCCTCTGCATCCAATTTATGCACTTAGGTGTCAGCCAAAGAATTGGGGGGAAAACATCTCTACTTCTCTTCTAGAGAACATACAAACAAGTGAACAATCATATGAAAGAGAATTCTGTGTGCACCGTTTGGTATATAGAAGACTCGGTGTAAATAAAATCAACCAGGTAAGAAACATGGACTTACAAGACACGATGTGCAGAATGTTCTGAAATCCAAGGAGCCAGATTCTGCAAGATTAATGATATTCTGAAAGGCAGATGTTTTACAATCATTTTCATGCCTCAACATTTCAAAAACGTATTTTTTATGGTTATGAATTCTTAGCATTGTGATTATGAAATCTTCTGCTCATCTTTGTATCTTTCTGTAATGCAATACTGGGAAAATGGAACTGGGACTTTCTTCCATTTTAAGATATAATGGGCTCATGCAGAAGATAAGAGACTAGGTGCAAAGTGGCCTCAATGAATTAGGGTTGGCATCACCTGAAACATATTATTAAGCATTCTTTTGTTAGCAAGTACAGTATACGTAACTCAATGCTGTATGATGCCTAGTTTGATGATCGGGAAATGCTTCTCACCGGTACAGTAAACATATCCCTGAATTCTGAGGCTACAAGAGTGACTACCTTACCTTGAACCCCAGAGGTCTAGCACAAAATTTTCACCACAACACTCCGAACACACAAATCTAATCTAATTCTTATTCATAAACTGGATTAGGCCTGGTTAGTTACCGGATGGGAAACTACCACAGAATAACAAGGATCCCATGGGAAAGCTGTAATTCCTGGAGAGTTGCTGCCAGTCTGTGTTGACTATCCTGGGCTACAAAAAAAGCAATGGTTGACATAAAGCAGTTTGTTATGTTCCTTACAAGAGCTGTATAGTGATGATATCTGAGATTTAAGGTTAGACCACTGGAAAGATGCTCCTGTTGTCTTAAATCTAAGTGGGTCAGGCGGGGGGACTATTTACCCCTCCACCCACAAGCAGCTGAAGCAGGAAGTGTATCATTTAAATCCTCCTTCTACAATACTTCAAGATTTTAAGGCTCTGGATCAGTTACTGGAGGTATCATTAATTAGGATCCAACTAAAGTCTTCTCCTCTAGATTCCATTTCTTTTTCCGCCTACCCTTCCTGAACTCTTTTCACTTCAAAGTAGTTAAAAGCTGTGAAGATTTATAATATATTGAACTCAAAGGAGGGATTATATTTGAGAGATGCAGGTCATGGTACACATGGCAGAATACGAATCGCTTCCCCACAAGGATACAGGTGAAAAGCAGCTCAGCCGCATCAAATTCTCCAACCTATTTTCTTTTCCTCCATTCTTTCTGTCACTCCTACCATTCCATGCCCCCTGGAGAACAAATGGCACACTCAGTTGTCATCAAGATGTGGGAAGGAGAGATCTAATTATTGCATTATTTTTCTGCATACCCGAGTATTCTCCAAATCTGCAGAAACCACAGTTGCCCTGTTAGCAGCTTTGTTTCACTGATAAATCAACTTATTAGAACGTAACAAATGTTATACATTCCCAATAACTTATAACAGAAGTGTACATATTCAGGTTCTTACTGAACTGTAATAGAAGCCTTGTATTGTAGACAATGCCAGTGACAGAACTGATCCATAACTGCAGCAGGAACAAGACCCTTCATGGCTCTCCCTTCTCTCTTTCTGAAGTGTTTAAAATTATTTTAATCAAGTTGTTTTGCTTGCGTTTGTTTTAATATGAAAAAATTACTTGTTTTTATATCTTATTTGTTAAGAGTTATGTGAAGGAGGTGAGGTTCTGAGTAAGTGGTTCATTTTATCTCTTTTTATACTCAGGCAATCAGCTTTCCTCATGACCTTGTGCTGACAGGAAGGATGGAGGAGAAAGGGGGTGGGAAAGGTGACTGGAGGAACACTCTAGATACGCAAAAAAATTCTGTTGGGTAATTTGAAAACATAAGCTTAACAGGAATGTATGCTGCAAGTTTGTAGCCACTTACCTAGGAACAAACCGCATTTAACTCAGTGGGATTGATTGTAAGCTGATATGGAACAGTTGATAGTACAGACACACTTAGGGGGGAGAAAATGCAAATCATCCACGCTTCATTTTGCACAAAACATGCTAGCTAAATTTCAGAGATTCTGCTGTTTCTAGTTTTGTTTTAAATGACATTTTTCATACAGTGCACATTATTCAAGCCAGTTCTCTTCTCCGCCACCCCCAAGACTATTCTGTTGAAATGGTGGCATTGAGGGTGGGATAGGGATTGGTTGGTGTGATTTTAATAGCTGTTTGTGAAGGAAAATGGGAGAGAAGCAATGACTCAAAAAAAGACTATACTTTCTGTCAATGTTTTTTCTTTTCTTTTTTGTAGTCAAAGCTTCTAGGAGGTTTCTGTTAATGAAATGTACTTGGAAGTGATCAGTTGGCTCTTTATACAGCAATTGTTCACAGTTTTTGAGCTCCTTATGTTCTTGTACTGTAATTCCATGAAAGCTTGAAAAATACCGTAGACTATGTTAACTAAATTTTTTACATGTTATAGTCCAAATACATCTACAATACTGTACTAAGGCTGGGGCTATTAACATAAATCTAATTTTCAAAGGAACGTATAAATGCTTTTCCCTTTGTGAATTATGGAGTGACATGCAAGAGGGCACATCAAAACTATTTAATTTATGTATTAATGGTGCTAATTAAATGAATTAAACATTTTTTATCTTGAATATTAATAACAATGAAATAATTTTCATCTTTTAACTTTAAAAGATTGATTTTCAAACCTAACATTTCAAGGTCTGAGTCTTCTGATTAGCATCCAAAATCAAGTCAATTCACCCTTTTCTCTAACTGCCTTTCTATTCATATCACTACAATTTAAATTAATCTTGATTATGAAGATGAAGATGAAGACCACAGAAGAATCTAACCCCTATTCAGACCTTGGAAGAACCAACTCATGTATGGTTGTTTATTTACAGAAGCAACCTTCAAACCTGTTGAATGCAGGGAGGGTGGGAGGAAAACTTCTAGTTAAAATGATGAGGGAATCATTTGTAATTAATTTTAATTTAATTATAACACATTAACTGCTGAAATTTATTATCCGTGACTAGAATAAAATAATGGCAAATATTCTTTATGAATCTAAATACCTTTCTCGTCTCTTCTTCTGTAGTTTTAATGTATCCAGGGTCTGTTCTAACAGTTTTGTAGAAATAATAGAGAACACCCACTATACTAAGAAAGAAGGGAAGCTGAGCAATTGTACCCGAAAGATGTTACCTCCAGTTAAGGAAGACATTTTCATTATTCATATATTTTGAATAAACATGCCCTTCCCAAGCTATGTTTCCAAGTTAAATGTCAATAAAGCTACTGCAAATTAAAAACAGGAAGGAATTCCTAACGCACACACATTTTACCATAGGCACATTTAACAGACATTACACAACCAGACTGTACAGGACTTTGAATCCAGAAAATCTTCAATAGCAACTTTCACCCTCCTCATCACCCACTAGATCACAAGACAGAAGTCCTCTTTTCTTCCCATGTACCCAGAACCAGTATTACATGTTACTATGTACCAAATTCATTAACTGTACCCAAATATACTATGTGTGACAATTTATCTAGCATAGGCTTCCTTTCTGTTTATTCTATTAATGACATAGAAGCTGGCATAGTTTTGGATGACCTGAATGATGATACAAGGGAACTGATAACTCAGTAAATTTGCAACTTACTCACTGAATCTACTCAGTCTCAGCTGGTCACATGACTTCTTTATTGTTTGATGAAATGGCCTCTGAACCAACTGGTGCAAGTTAATTTGGATTTATGACTTTTGATATTTTCAATTGAAACAAAAAAGTGAACTAGATGAATCTCGGATAATATTTGCTCATCTCTTTTTTTATATTTCTAGGGATATGCAGGAATATCAACTTAGAGGAATTGTAACAGAAACTTTGAGCAGAAGACTTTTTGTTCATGGAAGTTGGGGCCTTGGATACCTGAAGGACCGCCTCCTTCCATATGAGCCTACCCGGCAGTTAAGATCTAGCCAGGGGGCCCTTTTGAAAGAGCCGTCCCCTAAGGAGATAAGAGGGGCGGCTTGTAGACAAAGGGCCTTTTCGGCAGCTGCCCCCAGACTATGGAATGCCCTCCCGACTGAGATTCATCTGGCGCCGACACTGATGACATTTCGGCGCCAGGTCAAAACCTTCCTGTTCCAGAAGGCTTTTAATTGAAATAATATTAGCTGTGGGTCCGATGGCAATTTTTATATATATTTTAATTGTATTTTAATTGTTTTGAATTTTTATTGTATTTTAAATTTTGTAAGCCGCCCAGAGACCTTTGGGTAGTGTGGGCGGCATATAAATTAAATTAAATTAAATTAAATTAAATAAATAAGTTAGATCTGAAATTGCATCTTATGTATCAGCTGCAATACAGTTCTGTAAGTTAGGGCATATATGGGTGCTGATGTTGTCAGCTACAGTAATTTTTGAGAAATGAAACATTTCTGATTCCCTGAAAGGTCTTGAGGTTCCTTTTGGAATCCCTTTCATCACCAGGAAGCCATTGGGGCCACGAGGAATTTCCAATTACTAAAAATTGCCACCACTAGGATGACTTTACTGGCAGAAGCAATTTTGGTAAACAAAGACGTCCCCACCCCTTCCTATGGCCCCCCAATGGTTTCACAACAGCAAAATGGATTCCACAAGAGCTTTGGGACCTGGGGCGGCGGGAGGGGGGGAAGGATTAGAATTTTTTTTCCAGAAAAATCATTGAGGCTGATTATGTCATCAGCCTTATGAGGTGTAGCTTATAGAAGAGGATTTCAGCCATCAAATGACAAGAATTGAGTTCATTTATCCATTTGTCTTAAACATTCACGTAATAAATAAAAAAGAACTATATACCTAAAAACTAAGCACATAACTTATTTCCATTCAGACTTTTTTTGTTCTTGTATATAGCAAGAAGAAACTACATTAACATTTTCAAATGATGAAGAAAATATGCCATGATATATGATTTAGTACTGCTCAATATACAGAGCTACAACATCATTAGCAATACTACTACAAAATAAAGACTTCAGTCACAGTATAGCAGTAGGAGCAGTAGCAGCAGCACTAAGTATTCTAAGCAGCCAAGCAAATTTAGACAAGTCCTTAGCTGGCATATGCCCAAACCATTCGCAGGAATTAATCCATATAATTGTATTAATGAGATCTCATTAGAAAGCATAAAAAGAGAAAATGCAACTTCAGAGATGAAGTAATTAAGAGAGATACCATTTCATACTAGAACAGATTACTGCAGGCTTAATACACTAATTATTCTTTTACACACAAATCTCTCGGTACTCTTATCAATTTAAAATTTTGTTTAACATTCTCATAAACCTAGTGTATAGAAAGAAGGCAACAGAAGACCGTAAATTCAATACACGCATGTCAAATTGATGCTGTTCACACAACTGAGTCATTTATTTCTGTGCCAAATACCGAAGCCCTGAGAGACACTACCTTAGGAGGATATATTTAAAGGGCTAAGAGTATGTCCTCTTAGAAAAAAACTAGGTTTATAAATTAGAATTTTGGTTGTATGTTGAAATGTAGCCATTTTTCTTGAACAGAATACTAATATACATGTGGATATACATTTTCTCATTCATTGTAGTATGCACCACAATTAACTATAAACTGGTAACTATTAACTATAAACTGGTAACTATTAATTGTAGTATGCACCACAATTAACTATAAATCTTTACTGGTAATGGCGTGGCTAAAAAAATCTTGTAAAATAAATAAATATCTTCCCTATAACCTGTAAGTGCTCTGAACAAGATGATGAGTATATCCCCCAATATTGCAGTTTTAAAAGCATATGCTGTGAACGAGACAGAAGTGTCTGCTTTACCTTGCCATGACTGTCTAACAAATCATTAAGAGGCAAACAACCCTGATAATTATGGGAAATCAGTTTTGTGAGGGAGAGAAGAGGTGCACAATGTCAGGCTATGTTCTAGGACCTGAGATTATTGTGTTTCAAATAGAAATGAAGACAAGACAGACCTTGATAGCTCAGTGGTTTTGCTATCTGGCTGCAGAACCAGAGGTTTGGAGTTTGATTCCCCACTGTACTTTCTTGACAGGGGGTGGATTCAATGAGCCATAGAATCCCTTCCAACTCTGCAGTTCCAAGATGATGATGGTGATCTGGATAATGATACATCTACAGTATGTGGTCTCTAGAAGATCAGCAGGAATTTCTGCAGTAAAACAATTCTCGCCAAATTATGCCACTGAAATTCTAACAAGGTTACTAGGAGTGTACTTTTGCATTAAAGACACCTTTTGTCCAGTTTGAGTACAAATTCCTGGGCTTGTAATACAGTGGTGCCTCACACAACGATGTTAATTAGTTCCAAAAAAATCAACGTTGTGTGAAACATTGTTCTGGGAAACACCATTTCCCATAGGAATGAATTGAAAACCAGTTAATCCTTTTCAATTGGAACAGATTGCCGTCTTTAAGTGAAAAAACCCATAGGAAACATCGTTGAGTGAAACAATGTTTCCTCCATTGGAATGTATTGAAGTCGACTCAATACATTTCAATGGCTTTGCGAAGTCCTTTTTCGCTCCTGTAAAAGTGCCTTACAGTGTTTGGAACAGGTTTTAAATGCTTGCAATCGTTAGCCCACCTCCTGAACCCTATGCAAACTTAATTTGATGTTGTTTTGAGTCATCCTTAATTTTCAGTGATTTTTAAAATTTTCTCTCATTGGAATGTATTGAACTTTCCGTCCAATGCATTCCAATGAGAGAAAATTCAAAAAAATCACCAAAAATTAAGGACGACTCAGAACAACACCAAATTAAGTGTGCATAGGGTTCAGGAGGTGGGCTAACGATTGCAAGCATTTAAAACCTGTTCCAAACATTGTAAGACACTTAAAAATGAGCGAAAAGGGACATCGGAAAAGACTTCAAAAGCACTGTTGTTCTGAGTCGTCCTTAATTTTTGGTGATTTTTTGTTTTCCCTATTTAAATGCATTGAACTGTCAATTCAATTGATTTAAATGGGGAAAATAAAAAAAAATCACCAAAAATTAATGAAGACTCAGAACAAAACCAAATTAAGTTTGTACATGTTTCACAAGGTGCACTATGGAATCCAAGCATTTAAAACAGGTTTCAAACATTTTAAGACACTTTTAAATGAGCAAAAGGGGACATCGTTAAGTGAAATTCCCCCATAGAGAACATCATTAAACGATGGGGGAAATTCCTCAAAAAAAACCATCGCTGTGTGAATTCATCGTTGTATGAAGCAATCGTTGTGCGAGGCACCACTGTACTTAAGTTCTAAGTGTGTATCTTTTCCACCAGGATCCAGTTGGTGGATTTTGGGAATATGGTAAAAAATAAAATAGATCCTTCTAAACTGAAATCTGCCTGATGCTAATCTAAATTAACATTAGATCTGTAGATATACTGTCACTTCAAATGTGAGCTTTCTTTGTCAGACAAGCCCTATCTTCCCAAGTTCCCAATAAGATCAAATTGTATCTTATGTTGCTAATTCAGCATACATATGATATTAAAGTCCCAAAACAGCTTGCTACAAAATTTTATGTCCAGATATTTCTAAGTTTCCTTCTAAGAACCAAGAATCAACATGTACATAAGCCTTCTGAGGAAATCAAGTGCATCTGTATCTTCAATAATATTCTGTTTATTCTGTTATTGCCAGAGATAAAAGGATATTAGGAAGGAAATAAACGAAAAAGGTCCATGATATCCAGAAGATGGAACTAAGCATAAATGCTATTGGGAAATATTGTAGTTTATTAAATCCTACAAATAACCTGAAAAAGAAATTTTAAAAAAGTTTTAAAAATTGCAATCTTATCCACAAACATTTAAAACAACATCATCTTAAAATATTACATGTATCAATTTTTAAAGTTAATGTAGGACTGTATTCTTGAAGGCTTTCATGGCTGAGATCCAATGTAGATTTTTCAGGCTGTTTGGCCGGGTTCTGGATGCTTTATCATAATATACTTTTGGCCCTTAAATAATCGGTGGTATCATAATGTTTAATTCTGGTGTTTTACCAACTAGTTGGAACAAGCCAAAGTTCTTTACAGGTTTGTAATATGAAATAAGGAACTGTGGATTATTTTTAAATAAAAGTAGAGGTTGTCACCCTCTTCTTGCATACAAGAATTTTGAATTTTAATTATTGTAAGCCGCCCAGAGACCTCTGGGTAGTTTGGGCGGCATATAAATTGAATAAATAAATAAGATAAGCATAAATAAGATCAAGGCTTATCTTGTGGAAAGAGTTTTTCTGTGATTTTCCAGCCAGGCATTATAAACTACTACAGAAACCCAAAAGACTTAAACTGCACAGTTCAGGTCTTACAGAGATGTTTTTAGGCCCTAAACATTAGGCGCTACTTAGCACAGTAGACTAATTACTATTGCTCTACATGGAAAACATGGAAAAATGAATGGGATATAAATTGTCATAAGTATAGCCATAACCTATACCCATATTATTTTGCAGACATACTTTGGAATGTCACAACCAGTGCCCCTTTCTATTGCATGAACACCCTGAATTACATCGAGTGCCACACAAATGCCATATTTGGAGATTTCAAGAGTTTCTAAGTTGTAAGTAAGATAATAAAATAATATGTGAAGCAAATCATTTTCTTTATTTTTGTTCTTCACAGTATGCAGTGGAATATCTCCAGTCTAAGAAACACATTTTTCTAATGAAGCCTAAATCTTGCATGTGAAGGAGAATTAGAAGTAGTACACAATATCAAGGCTCACTACAACTCACTGGTGATTACCTGAAGTTTCAAGTTTAAACCACAGTTCTGGTACGTATCTAAAACGGGCTATGTTTTGATCATACATTTTCACTCAAAATCTAAAACATTTGAACTTCTTGAGCTTCCAGCAACAAAGACTACAACACAAAACAAGAATGCTACCCATACCTACCTTGCAAAGAAAGAGAGAGCAACAAATATGAAGACTAGCAAGCTTCCTTTCAACAGCCAAGAATCAGAATTTAGGTCTGCTACACATCCTATTGCCCATATCACGATCAAGGATGAGATAAGCAAAAGCAAGAACTACAACAAAAGAAAAGAAAATGTGCTTCATTACAACATGGTATGGGGGGAACAAAATGAAAAACCTGACACAGCCATGCTGATGTAAAAAGATAACTTTTCCAAGCTCTTCTCCTGAATCAGTCTTGTGTACTAGCCTGAAGGCAAAACCATCACCTCAGCTGGAATGTTTCTTCTGATCTGAATTACTTCACTGTTGTGTTAAGATTTTTTTATTGCACTACCTGGAAGTTACTGTTGCTCTCCTTCCATAACCAGATTAGCAACAGCAACAATGTTGATGCATCATTCAGCAACTGATTCAATGTGTACAGTCTAGTTGGGACTACCAGTTGGATTTATGTCACAACACACACACACACACACACACACGTTAGATCAAGAGAATACAATAGTTCAAGAGACACAGACCAGAATCTGATTAGTAGTCCCCATGGGCGAGTAGACCCACTGAATAAATGGGATCTACATAAATGTTGATGCATCATTCAGCAACTGATTCAATGTGTACAGTCTAGTTGGGACTACCAGTTGGATTTATGTCACATTTCTTTATTT